CAGGTCATACCAGTACCGCGAGGTACATTGATGCCTCCAAAAAAACATGGTGGACAAATGATTGGACAAACCACACGAGTACCTCTATGGGTTGAATTGCGACTCGATGAAAATGTGTTACCAGGGAAACATACCATTTTCCCAAAAAGTCGCTGCATACCTACGTCGATGGCGTAGTGACATTCGGGATTGCTCCTAATCCGACACTAGCAACCCACGAACCTTGAAACGCCCCAAATATGTTTCTACGCCGCAGTAATAGTTCTGGTAGGTTCTGGCGAGACAATTAAACGCTTACCGGCAGCATCGCGAGATGATAATGAGCCAAATTTCTGCGAACTAACCGAACCCTTCGTCCTTGTAAAGAAGCATTTGCACAGACTCGACAACGAACTCAAGCCCCTGAAAGATGCACGATCGTCAATCGCAAAAGTGAATCAGTAGGACAGTGAGATTGTAGAGGAACTCCACGGCGTAATAGAAGAACTACAAAGCCTTCGAAACGCCTTCGAAACACGCCTTAAAGAGATGAAGAAAACAGTGGCTGAACTGACTTAACAACTAGAGCGAGCTGGTCATGGACACTAGCATCTGCTACGGCTTTAGGGGCTGCTCATCCTCTGAGAAGTGAACTGGTGCTTCGAACGAGTACGATGAGCCACGAGCCCAGCAACGACACATAGTCGCATGAATAGTAAGTAGAGTAAATAAATGCCATAGTGTTATAATCAGAGTTAGAGGAATTCCGATCTGATCAATTACTTGATTATACCCAATCCCCATTCCAACAGGCACATCAAGAACATCACCACTACCTCTTTACCTCGCCCATCACAGTGCCCTGACCCCGGCCATCCCCTCCCCTAACTAATCTCACATGCCTATACCCCGCCATCCTTTACACTCATAATCCCCACTCCACTTGAGAAAATCACAACGACCCGTAAGATGTGACCATAAGCTAGCATTCATTTACCCAACTAAACAAATCTCCCCCGTCAATGAAACAGCATAGCGACTACCTACCTATGTACTTACCTGAATATGTCCATTCGTTACCAGTGAATAGCCCTGAAGCCTTGCTGTGTGAGTCTTAGTAAACTAACTGCCTGCTATGTAGCAGCTACCAGCCCAACATACACCCCCCTCCCAAAAAAAAAAAAAAAAGGGGGAAAACCATAGCTAGATAGCTAGCTAGCTCACATTACGATCAGATAGTCCATCGAGTAAAAGCTGGGTGCGTGGTATGAAAACAAAAGTATCTAATATGTGATATTTATTTAACCCGTTCCTCCATCAAGGAAAAGTTTCCTTTCCTCAAAGAGCACTCAATTCATACACAAGAAAACAGCCAAAAAGACGCTTTCACAAGCTGTCGCAACTGCAAGGCTTCACAAAACTTCTTGATTTGTCAGGAAGAAGAAGAAAAAAAACGCCCAGGACGGGACCACTTCCAGCGGCCCTCTTTTGAAGAACGCCATAGCTAATCTGCAGTTGCAATAATCTACGCTGGTTTACCACGCCTGAATAGGCGGTGACGACGCACGAAGTTTCTCCTCTTTATTCATAAGCGCTGAAATCCAACGGCACACTGCTCCCTCTCCCCGCTCTGTACCTCTTCATGCCACCCGTAAACTCCCTCGGCCTCGGGAACTGCCCTTCATCCTGGAACCTCCACCTAAGATCATGTATGGGGATGATTTTGCCCTTGTGTCCTCCTCCTCCCGTGGCCATACCTGGACTGGTTGGGCTTTTGATGCCAGACCCGCCGTTGGATAACGTGTACGAAGAGGGATCGAGCATGGAGCGTAGAGGGGTTTGCGAGGTAGGACGACTTGGAGCGGCACTTGGAGGTGGCGGAGGCGCAGGCGCGGACGGCGGTACTGAGGAGGGTGGTGTAGGTGCAGACCCTGGGGGAGGCGGTGGTGGTGGGGCGACGGGTGATGCGCGACCGAATGCATTGCGAGCTGCTTGTTCTGCGAGCGATGGTGTATGGCCGTTCGTCGGCGCTTTCGGCGGTAGAGGAGCAGGCGCTGACGGCGCTCGACTGTCATAACGGTATGGGTCGTAGTCGTCGTCATCATCTGCTTGCGCATTCGGTGGAGGAGGGGCAGAAGGCGGGGAGGCGGTGTCGATCGTGCTGGGGCTCGCGGGGCTGACGAAGGTGGTAGTGGAGGTGCTGGAGGAGGTGTTGGCGGCACTGAAGTCGTGAATGGACGATGTGCTGGTCCTGAGCTAGGTGGTGGGGGTGGTGGTGCGGATGGGGTCGAAGAAGGCGGCGGCGGGGTGGTGCCGGAGGGGCGCTTCCTGGAACAGGCGGAGCTCGAGCTGGTGATACTGGGGTGGAGGAGCGAGCCCAGATGGCTTTCGAGAAGCTGGGGTGGGATGGGTGGTTTCTTGCCAATTGGAGGCGGTGGTTTCGGCTTGAGTCCTATGCTCGAAGCTACCGATGATGGTCTGGAGTCCCTCAATCCGCCAAACACTGGGTTGAGGGGCGGTCGTCCGCCTGGAATTGGAGGCGCAGGAGCTCCTGGAGGTTTCGGTGCTGCTGCGCGTGGTGGTTTGGGAACCGAACTTCGCGACGTCTCTGGGTCTGAGAGGTAGGGCGTATTGCTCTGGTCCGCGCCTGTATTGACACCGCCCGCCTTCCTCAGCTTCGGCATGCCCCCTGCAAACAGGCCCCCTAATTGCGGTGCTGATGCCATGGCACTGTCTCCACCCCCTGTGTCGCTGTTACTCCTCGCCCGGTTTCCTCCTGCGGGCACTGGCGGCGCAAGCCCTCCAGGCGGTGCAGGCGGTCTGCCCATGCCAGGAATCGGTGGTGCTCCTCCTATGGGCGGTGCACTGGGCCCGTCGCTTCCTTTGCCAACTATCGGTGCGGATCTATCGTTGACCACTGTGACTTTCTTCAGCTTCGCGCCTTTTCCGATATCTGACAGCAGTGCTCCCTGTGACCTGTTAGCTTGGGCTCCATGTCGTGCTGATTCCCACTACAGCATTCGTTGCTCTAGCGAAGCGGAGGTTGTATACTCTTCCAGCTCCCGAAGGCGGCTTTGCTCCTGGCGCCTTCATCCCAGGCATTGGCGGCGGCGGTGGTGGACCTCCAGCGCCCCGTCCCATGGGCGGCATGGGCGGAGGGGAGGAGGTGGAGGCATCGTGTCGTGGGCGTCTCTCACGCGGGCGGCGGTATTCCTTCTCTTTGTCGGCGTATATGTATAGTATTTGCAGACGCTGCTGCCTGAGTCCGCGTGTCGTTGGGTAGTGAGCGTCGTGTTCGTAGCTTTGGCTCTGGTTGGAACATTCCGTCACAGTCGATGTGGCTTGGCATGTGCAGGGCTTCGTCACTTTCGAACTTGACCACAATCGCCAACCACACACGCGGCGCCATGAAACCCGGGAGCCTGCCAATGCGCGCGAGGCCGCGGCCGCGGCCAGTGTGCCAATTGTGCGACTACATACTGCAGCAGCCTTCACGGCGTCGCGCATTCGTGGCCGCGTCAACCTTCAAGGCAACCTCGACACCTCGCCAACCCGCGCGAACACATGGTATAGCCCCACGGATACCCACTCGAAGCATTACGACGACACCGCGGAAAGCACAAGATGTTGAGATTAGAGACGACGAGGGTCTGCAGACAACTGAGAGGATCGCTGAGCTGAAAGCGGAGCTGGCGGAGGTCGAAGATCAGATCCGGGCAATATACAATTCACCCAAGGTCGAGAACGAAGCCGTAGTACTGAAGGCGTTGGATGGGCTAGAACGCATTGCACAGAAAGCAATAGCGATACGGTCACGGCAGCCACCGCCTACAAGAACTCCTATCAGGCAGAGCTCAGCTGGCGCAATACTGTCGGGCTTGGGTAGTGAAGAAAATGTTAGCACTCAGCGGAGGACAAGAACCAAGCAGCTCGGACTCGATGCGCTTCCCTCGCCCTCGTACCTATCCAAGCTCGCAGAGGGCCTCATCAAGCATGAAAAAGTCTTCGTCTCGCCCAATGTCCTCGCCGTGTACATCCACCTGCAACGGCTGCTCGCGCGCCCGAAGACCATCCCAGAAGCCCTCTACCTCTATGCCAACAAGCCCGTACCCGTAGACGGCTCATCCCCACCCAAGTTCTCACATCCCTCACCGAAATCCGCAAAACAAGCCATCCCTGCAGATCTCGCCGATGAGGCGCTGACAGCAGCTATCGACGCAAAAGATCTATCACTCGCTCTCGATGTCGTCGACCAAACCTACCGCACTCCAGCCTGGCGTCGCCACCGCATGTTCACCAAGATGGGCTTACCCGCAGCATTGGCCGGCGTCGCACCTCTTGGGATCTATATGATCGCGCAGGAACTCTCCGTGTACAGCGGTTACATTGACCCTTGGACGTTCAAGCTATACGCTTTCATGGGCTTGAGCACATATGTCGCATGTACCGGTACACTCGGCTTTGTTGCCCTCACGACGTACAACGACACACACGACCGGGTCGTGTGGAGACCGGGTGTTCCTCTGTTGGATCGGTATCTGCGCGAGGACGAACGGGCGGCGCTAGATCGCATCGCATGTGCATGGGGATTCAAGGAACTCTGGAGACGAGGCGACGAGGAGGGTGAGGAGTGGGAGGGCTTGCGGCAGTGGGTTTTGCTGAGAGGTATGGTGCTGGATAAGTCTGATCTCATGCCGGGTATGAACGCGAGCACTCATGCACGGGAGCGGTAGGAGACGTGCAAGTGGATTCAGAAAGTACCTATCTGTAGACTGCGTCGTCGGAGTCGCTTTATTACTTGTATACATACATACATACCACTACTGTACAATTCACACACTGTAATACTGTTGTACCCCCTACGCCAACACCTACTACTTTCCTACCCACCCCTCAAGACGAGAGCAAAAAAAGAAAAAATATTCAATGTGTTGCACATGCTCCTCCATACCCTTAGGGCGAAGGCGAAGGGGAAGGAAAAGGCAAAAAAAGATGATGGTTACTTCGGTCTTTACGCGACACCTGTGAGATTCGAACTCACGCTCCCGAAGGAACTGGCTGACTTTCGCTCATACGAACGACTAGCAGGCCAGCGCGTTAACCACTCCGCTGTTTCCATGTTAGTCATTGCTTTCCGAGAAGGAAGGTGCGACCAGCGCTGGAATGCACTTACCCAAAGTGCCTTTGAGGTAATTGATGGGGATTCTGCTAAATTTAAAATATATAACCATCGGTAATAAAGTTTTCCATTAGAAGCGGGGCTGAGTAGGGAAGTATCGCGAATCTTTGATTGGGAGGTTTCGGACGGATGGAAAGTGGAGTCATGCAAGCAATCGTTGTGCCGTTGAAGGAATGGTGGGGAATCAGCAGACTCGGCTCTTGTTTGACTGCCAAGCAGCAGCCAGCCTGAGATCTCGGGCTGACATCATCCGTCCTGCTGCGAAGTCGCCGCGACTTCAATCCACTTCGTCCTCATCAACATGCTCACTGAGGTCAATGCATTAGCACGCTCGTTCCTAGTCAACCCCATAGGTATGGGAGCTCTGTTCGGTAATGTATCATAGTATTGTGTGGTGTGGAATATGCTAACCCGGAGGAACACCATTTTTTCTCTCATTTGCACGTCTCTGTCCTGGCGCACTCCATTCCAACTTTTTAACCTGCATTTGGCTACTGTCCGTGACTACATCACTATGGATCTCCTTGCGTTTCAAGAGAAGGCATATCAGAACATGAACAAGCCGTAAGAAGAGCTAGGAGCATCGATCTTATGATATATCACAAAAGTCTGTCCGTGGACATACTTCGTCGTCATAACACATCCTTCCATCTTAGTAAAAATATTATTCTGTTCTTTTATAGAGGTTATTTTCTCATACAAATTCACCTATGTCAGTATTGCACCATGGGCATCCCCTGCGTGTTCTTATCTACTTATCATCCGTCTTATATCTCATAATGCTGTAAAAACTTCTCAGTGGCACCATTGAGGTACGCAGAGCGTAGTTTAAATCTGCTTATTCTGCTGTTCGTGGTGCTGGGCGGTCAAGTCCTCGCGGGTCACGATGTGGGCGGTCAGTCGCGTAGCGTGTCGAAGCCCAAAACGCGTGCGCGAAACCGGCCCTCTTTCACCTTACGATCAGTCACTACACAGCACCTTTCATCGCATAGCAGTCCAGATGGCCCCAAAGCGTGCTGCCCCTGTGCCCGTGCGAGGAAACAAATCTATTCTCTCATTCTTTTCCGCTTTATCCACCACGTCCGTAAACGAGTCACAGCCATCGCCAGGCAAGAAGCTCGAGCAGGAAGAGCTGTCCATGGACAGCCTGGGAAGGACAGGATCTAAAATTGATACGTCCGTGAGCAGTGATGAGGATAACGCGGTCGCGGACGTTTTCGACGCGTCAGAGGACAGCCAAGTGGATGGTATTCGTCCGTTCGGATCACTGCCCGACAACACTTACGTCTGCCCTTTCAAGGCAAGCGGTGCCTGCGCGAGGTCAACGACTTTCAAGAACTATAGAGCCTTAGCTGCCCACTGTAACCAGCATCACCCTGGCAAAATCTATACGCCTTTCAGCACCAGTCCATTCCAGGACGGGACCCGCAAGATTCCTTGCCCGAGGAGATGTGGAATTCTCTTCGCAAGCTATGATGCGGCTACACAGCATATTAAGGCCAAATGTACGCAGCCCTCTAGCACTGGCTACCCCCGCACATGTCCATGGCCAGACTGTGTTGAGGTGTCCGTGGACAGCCGTGCCTACGCTACGCACTCTGGGTCGCACGTACGGGACACCAGAGGCCTTTACCAATGTTCGAAGTGTGACGACTATTGGTGTGATTTATATTTGCTAGCATCTCATGAATGTCGGTGCAAAGGAACTACCCGAGTTCGACGATTCAATGGGAGCTTCCGTGTTGTCGTGAATGAATATGGCCAAGAGCCTGCCTCTGTCGTGGTCCTTGCTCGATCCTCCAGCCATGCACCTAAATCATGGCACCAGGGGCGTGAATTCCTGTCTGAAGGGATGCCCATCTTTGCGGAGAAGCTCTTCAGAACATTTGAAGAAGATAACAAAGGCATCGAGAATCTGGCGGGCGTTTTTCTTGCGATGTACGATATCCACACGAGATATGTTCCTACAGGCGAGCATTGTGAAGCCCACAAGGTGCAGGACCCATCCATGAAATCCTACCTCTCTCGAGCATTCAAATTCACAGATGCTATCGACAAGGAGCTGAACTCGATTGCGATCGCATCCCCAGATCGTGCTCGGTATCTTTTGTCTGTTGGGCTGGATGGTTTCGCTTGCGTAGCAGACTTGTTTCTGGCATGGTTGAAGCGGACGCCGCCTTTCATCTTGGTGATCCGAGAGACCGAATTATGTTACGGCATGAAAGAAGAATTCTTTCCCATGTCATCTCAAGGCCTCTACTACGGCTTCTTCGACTCTCAAGATCTGGAAAAATCGATCGAGTCAGGCCTGTCCACGGACAAAGCCATTGAAAATCTCCTAGAAGCATGGGCAAAATGTCAAGCCTGGAAGGATGACATTTCGACTAAAAATAATGGTCGAACTATCGGCCGAAATGGCGACCACAAAGCAATCCCGACCAGGGCGAAGAGGGGCCCATCAAGAGGACCGACGATGCCAAAATGATTATATTTCTCTCACATATACGACGCTACGATATCCGGGTAATCACGCCACCATTCTCTCCGCATCTCTCTAACTATTTGACTGCTATATATTTGCTTTTTATCTTCTTCGCATATTGCATCTAGGTGTTTGACCTTCTACATATCTAATGCGAGCGATAATTCACCGTCTTGCGACGTTATTATCAGCTTACGATGGATCATTATCCTTCTAGCTGTCGAGAAAGCGACGACTACGGTTGTCCATGGACAAGCCTGTTTGTTGTATAATACACTATATCAAAGTTCTTAGTGATTAATTGAATGGTAGAAGCATCCTAATTCTAGTAAAGCATGATATTGGTTCTATGAAGAGGAGTTCCTGATAGGGGTTACGTTAGTAAAGGGTTCAGAGACTCTGAACTATTGGCGCCACTAATCTTAATGCCCAACCGTCGAGCAGGATCGTCCCATTTAAAGGGGAACACATTCCTCGAATGACGGTAAAAGGGTGGCGCTGACCGTAGGGAAGGAGATCGCAATGAAAGCGAATCGTCTCTCGCTCCAGTCGATCAACCCACGATTTGCCGATCTCGATCTCGAGGTATGCGACCGAGAACCTATATTCCCAGCCATTATCGGCCCAAAAAAAGAGCCTTCGAAAATCTGGTTTTGAAGGAAACAGCACAACTCCTCAAAGAAGGCTATGAATAAAAATTTGCAAGCCTTCCTCCTCTTATTAGGAGTGCTAGATGAATACAGGAACCTTTTTTACTACTTTCTTCTACTTGTTGCTGCTGTTTTATGGCTTCAAAGACTCGACTTAGTGCCGACTTATTCTCACTCGCGGGAGGTGGGTGCCGATAATACTCCCCCACAAGCATCGACTTGACCTGACAAAGGTCCCATCAGCCAGTATCTCTTCACACTCGGATAGTTTGAAAGCACAATTGACCTTAGATCTCAACAAATGAGTAAATCTAGTAAGACAGATCTATTCGCAGTAGAATATGCGATACATGCAAGCTGAGTGTGTTTGCAAGCAACATCAACTGAATCTAAAATCTACATAGCTAAAAGTACACTCTCTAGTATGTAATGTTTGCCATACGTTGTTGCTAATTCCACTGCCCTGTCGCGTAACATACTGATGCCGGAGATATTAATGAGGTGGTACGGTCTAAACAAAGAGAACAAGAGCACGACAACAGACAAAAATCTCGGAGTGAAGTGTTCCTAACTTCATATGTTGCGGACCGTAACCCATCTACACCGTCTTCGTCTTCTTCCCCTTGGGAACACGACAGAGCCAGTACAGAAAAACTGCTCCCGCGGCATTGAACACAACGTATACCCAGAGCAACCCGAAATCCCTCCAGCGAGTATCCCAATTCGCATGAATGCGCTGTAGGAACTGGTTTGTGTTGTCCATTTGGCAGAACTGGCATTGACCAGTAGCCTGCGCATCACGCAGATATCCACCAGCCATCTCGATATAATTCTGCATATACTCTCCACAAGTCTGATTTGCCGGCGCAGCAAAAGTCTGAAACTCAGTTTCTGCACAGTATGCCGGCGCTTGCCCTAGCGTCGTCGACATGAAGCTCGACACCATGTATGTGACGGGGTTGACGCGGTACATGAAGATCCAGAAACGAGGGAGTTGGCTGGGTCCTGCTAAAATACCACAGAAGCCGTAGAGCATGATTCCTACTAGGGTGGCGTATGCACCTGCTATTTCTTCGCTGGGTGCGCCGGCGATGAGGAGGTGGGCTAGAGTGCTGGCGAACAGGAACGATGTTATCACGATGAGGAGGGCATGGAAGGCGCGGATGTGGGTTGAGTTTGTGGCTTCGGCGTTGCGGTAGACTGCGGCGGGATAGTACCAGACGAGGAAACAGAGGATGGCCATGAACTGGAAGCATTGTTAGCAACACCAGGATAATGATGGTTACTCAAGTGGGTGGCACTTGCAGCATTCCAGGCCATTTCTATGACGAGGTTGGAAAGAACAAAAGCTTGCCATGCGTAGGTCTTCGACTGTCGTTCCCGAGCCTCATATAAGGTTCGCTGGGATATGAACATTGGTAGGATCTGGTAAAGCAGCTGGATAATCACAAAAAGGAAAATAAAGACGCCGAACATCTGATTCTGCAGTCCTTGCATGGTGTTTTCGCCGTTGAAGAAAGAGAACCCGATCAGAAGTGAGCATCCAACCGTGAGGATCACCTTGGAGTAGATATACGAAGGCGTTCGCCAATATTGTTGCGCGCAACGTTGAGCGACTGTCTTCAGTTGTGCCATGAAGTGCGCTGCGAACTCTTGGTGGCTTGCATCGGATGAGTCCATCACAGCTGATGGCTGGGTTGCAAGCTCCCTCAGACTAGCCAACTCCGCTTGAACATCGGTGTATTCCTTGCTGTTCTTCCATGCAGAAGGCCAATCGATATTTGTTTCAGCTCCGGGGGCG